CTTCCTACGTGTATGGTAGATTTCTTTATGTAGAGTAAATATATTAGGATAAGACATTACCGTGTTGTAAAGTGAAAATACATGTGTTTCTAATATTCAGGCTTGTAAAGTAGCTGCATTAAAAATATAAAAAGGAAGCAAATATAAAGTACTTCACATATAATTATGTCGATCTTCACAACTTTATTATATGAAATATCTCGCCAATTAACTATCTACGTTGGATTATTTCTATTTATACTTGGTACAGCTGGTTCAATACTAAACATTTATATATTTTCATCAAAAAATCATTTCGATCAAATGCGTGTGCAATATTTTTACTTTGTGCATCTATCTACGATTTACTATATTTCTTCAATGCAGTATTACCACAAATATTAACTGCTTTTAACATTGATCCAACAAATACCTCAAGGGTTTATTGTAAATTAAAATTTTATTTTACACTACAATTTTCATTGGCATCAAATACATTTATTCTTTTAGCAGCTGTCAATCGGTGGTTGTGTTCGTGTCGAAATGCGAGGTATCGGGAATGGTCGACAATCAAAAAGACATGGATATCAGTTTTTATTACAACTATGTCCTATATCGTAATACAAGCACCCAGTTTAATTTATTATGATAATGTGAATAACAAGTGTTCGACAATATCAACAGCTTTTTTATATTATTTGTCGTATTTTCAAAATTTGATTCAATTCGCAGTTCTACCGATCATTCTATCAGTTTATTTTGGTGTTAGAACATATAAAAATCTTCATCAACGAACTGCTCCTGTTGTAAGAGCTATTACTGGCCGAGGTGGGATTAGTATTCGTCAACGTATTGAAAATCAATTGACGACAATGTTCCTATTACAAATGTGCACTGAAACTTTATTCGTCACACCAAATCTGGTACAATTAATCTATTCGAGCATTACAATGTATGTAGAAAAAGATTTACTACGTTTGGCACAAGAAAATTTATTTACAACAATTGCTCGTCTTACAACCTACGTTAATCATGCTTCTAGATTTTATATTTATCTTATATCATCACGTGAAATTCGGAGAATATTTATTCACAAGTAGCGTTCATCATTCTGATTCACTTATCCCTTGACTGGAAAGGAATCACCAATAGGAAATTATTTCTATAGAATATTATAATTATCTTTCTCGTCCTCATTACATTGAGGGCTGCGCGATTACGATTAGAAAATGTAAAGTTCAAACATTGCTGCTATTCCTAGAATTTTACAATTCTGAACTTTACATGTTCGGTGAACTTAGAATTCTTACATACATTGTAAAGTTGCACACGCACACTCACCCTACACTCACTCCACTTGCTCACGTAATTACTACCCGGAAGTTCTAATCTGTCCTGAATCACACATATATACTGCAATCGAATTTACCAATTTTCGGACAGTTTAACTCGATAAGACTATTTCCTTTACAGTAAAGGGAATACCATTTCAAACCCATCAAGTCGAGCCAAGTAACGCTCGCTAGCCCGCTCACTCTCCACCGACGGCTCAGGTGGTTCAGCTGGTGGTCTAGTTTTCATTGTACTATCGGTCATAAGTAATGTAACACTTTTTCACACTGTTGATCACTCCCTACTTATATACGCAAGGGGACTACAGCAACTTATATTTGCGCATGACCTTCAACGACTTTGAATCACAGACAACGCTCATACCTCCCTTCGGTCGGTGTTCGCTGGAGGACTATTCACAATATGTATGTACGTATATCCTTCACACCATGTTCAAATGTCTGTGTATGCCAATAGAATCGGTCCCAGAGGTCGCTCACACTCATTTTCTGATTCCCCATAGTCGAATACCTATTCTATATCGTTTCCACCCAATGAAGTTAAAATGAAGTTTTCCGCCAATAGAATCGTAGAGGTCGCTCATACTCATTTTCTTATTCCCCATAGTCCTATACCTATTCCATATCCTAATACAAGCACCCAGTTTAATTTATTATGATAATGTGAATAACAAGTGTTCGACAATATCAACAGCTTTTTGTTTGATTGTATTACATGAAAGCAGACATATTCTCAAGGGCACAATACATTCATACACCAAAGCAGCAGATATTGAGTCTAGTGCACACGATATTATTTATTTCTGAATTGCTTGGATTTAGTGTGTGTTGATGCTAGTCGTCTAAAATATGTCGGTATAAACCATTTATTTATGAGATCAAAAAACTCTTGGCTGTATGTTGGCGATGGCAGAATAAACCCAAATAAAATTGATACTGACGGTAGATACGATATGAAGTAGCCGATAAGATTGGGCAATGGTCGACGATCTAATTTTGTGC